ATGTTTATGTCCTTCTATTGTTTTTTTTAATTTTTATTGTGAAAATACCATACAGAGGGGCAACAATTACATGGACAAGATAATGAGTACATTTCTTATCAAGCATTGTTGCCTCCTCCTTTGTTTCCCCTTCCCATCCCTTCCCATCTTCCCTCCCTCCCCCTCCCCATGTCCTTCTATTGTATAAGCAGGTATACACAAAGGCTGTAAAGAAGAAAAACAAAACAAAAAAGCCCTACTTGGAGATAGAAACGTGTGTGGGGAAATAATTCCATCTTTAAAAAAAGTTTCATGCAGGTGGCTCATGCCTGTAATCCTAGCTACTCAGGAGGCTGAGCTCTGAGGATCATGGTTCAAAGCCAGACTGGGTGGGAAAGTCTGTGAAACTCTTATCTCCAATTAACCACCAGAAAACCAGAAGTGGCTCTGTGGCTCAAGTGGTAGAGCACTTGCCTTGAGCTGAAGAGCTGAGGGAAAGCGCCCAGGACCAGAGTTCAGGCCCCACAACCGACAAAAAGAAAAAAAAAAGTTTTATTTAATATGAAACAGATAATAACAAAGATGCAAAGCATATTTTATTGAAGCTTATTGCTGCCCAGATTGTGTCTTTATATATGTAGAACAGGAAATCAATCTTTGAAAAGCTTATTGTGTGTCTGGAGTTCCTGAAAGGAAGTGCTTTTTTATTGTGTGTATTAATACATATATTAACTATTTTATGTTAAGCACTTTATTTGACTTTATTTGTAGTTGTCTGTAACCTCAAAAACATTTTAAAATGTTTTAACCCATAGGCAGTCTGTGTTAACACTGTGCTGGAGAAAGCAAAGAGTATTTTCAAAGAAGAAGAATCCATAAGGCAAAACCAAGAAAATGAAATGTGTAGAAAAGCCTTTTCTGAGCCTGTGCTTCCAGAATCTGTGTTTCCTGTAGCTGAAATCAAAGCAAAACCTTACAGGTCACTGCCAGAGAAGCCAGACAACGTTTCAAATCAACCCACGCTTCCTGACAACAAGCGGAGTAATAAGATCCAGGTTTTACATTCAGTGTTTGACCAATCAGCCGAAATGAATGAATAAGCAAATCTGAATACAAGTGTCACTATAGAAAGCTTTAGTTACCTGCTGGCACATTTCATCTGGCAAAACCAGGAACTAGTTTCTGGTGCTCTGCTTTAGCCAAAGGAGAGGGCAGAACTTCTACTGTCATTCTTTAGTATTTAACATGGCAGAAAAAGTAAAATGAATCTTGATGTCAAAATGCATGTATGGTTATACAATATTCTCATTTAGTTATTTATTTTTGTGCCATGGCTGGGGCTTGAACTCAGGGCCTCGTGCTCTTAGTTGGCATTTTCACTCAAATCTTGGTAACTCTACCAATTGAGCCACACTTGTATTTCTGGCTTTTGCTGGTTAAATGGAGGTAAAAGTTTCATGCACTTTTCTGCCCAGGCTTACTTTGAACCATGATCCTTAGATCTCAACCTCCTGAGTGACTAAGATTACAGACATGAGCCACCACCATCTGGTCAATATTTTTAATTTTAATTTTTATATTTTTTTAGTGGTACTGGAGTTTGAACTCAGGGCTTCACATTTGTTGGTCTATTACTCTACCACTTGAGTCAAAACCCCTGCCTACTTTTCAGTGGCTATTTTTAAGACAGATTCTGACTTCTCGTATGCATTAGCTATGATCTGCCAACTTCAGACTTCTCTTTCTCAATGGGATCAAAAGCACAAACTACTGTATATTATATCCCTTGATGGAGATTAAATCTCAATTGACTTTTCTGCCCAAGCTGGCCTGGATCCATGATCCTCTTAGTCTCAGCCTCCCATGTAGCTTGGATGATAGGTAAATGCACTGTGCCCAGTTGATTTGAGAAGGAGGTCGCAAGACATTTTCTCCCTTGGCTGACCTTGAACCAAGATCCTCCTGTTCTTAGCTACCCAAGTAGTTATATTACAGGCTCGAGCCATTAGGGCCTAATTCTGTCTACATACAATATTATTTTTTGTATGTGTTGGTTGTAAGACTTGAACTCAGGGCCTGGATGCTGTCCCTGAGCAATTTTCCTCAAGGCTAGCACTCTACCACTTAGAGCCACATCCAGTTTTTAGGTAGTATTTTGGAGATAAGAGACACAAGGGAACTTTTCTGTCTGGGCTGGCTTGGAACTGCAATCCTCAGATCTGAGTCTGCTTAGCTAGGATTACAGATGCGAGCCACCAGCGGCCAGCCAAAAATTTTTAATGAGCAAGTCCATCTACTGTTGGTTGGATTAGAATCTTTGTGTGTGTATGCCTATCCTGGGGCTTGAACTCAGGGCCTGGATACTGTCCCTGAGTTTGTTTTATGTTCAAGACTAATGCTCTACCACTTTGAGCCACAGTGCCATTTTCTGGCTTTTTGGTAGTTAACTAGAGATAACAGACTCTTGAATCTCTATCCTTAGAGCTCAGACTCCTGAGTAGCTAGTATTACAGGTATGAGCCACTAACACCAGGCATACAATATTTTTTGCTATGATTCATAATATAGGCATCCTTATAATACATTTATGTCTCTATGACTTATTTTGACTGTTTATAAAGAAAAAACCCTATAAAAATGCTACATATTAACCAGCCACCAGTGGCTTATCCCTGGAATCCTAGCTACTCAGGAGGCTGAGATCTGAGGATTACAGTTCAAAGCCAACCCTGGGCAGATAAAGAGTTTAAGTACCAAAACCAGCACCAAAAACAAACATAAAAACAATATTCCTTTTATATCTTTTTCAGAGATATTTATTTTCTGTTTGCAGGCTATACTGCTTGAGTCTCCTTATTTATAATTCACTTGTAAAGTTATGAAGGACTTGGAATTCACAGATGCTATCATTTATCAAACAATATTTTAAACTTGATGAGAAAATTTCCATATATGAAGAAAGGACATGATGAGTTTATCTGTTTTGTTTGTCATTAAGAGAGAGAGAGGGTCTTGCAATGTGACTTGGGCCTCAAACTCCTAGATGAAGTTTTCTTACTGCCTCAGACTTCCAAGTAACTAGGACATCAATCTATACTGCTACACCCAGTAATGTGATCTTCATTTCCAGATTTAAAGTATGAAATTTAGAATAAGAAACCAAGAGTATATTGCTCTATATTGCCCTGACACAATGCTTTCATAATTGGCTCTGCAAACTATGGATCATTATTTTTTGTCTATAGAAGGTACTTTAGCTTCTTCTAGACACTTTTAATTCTTGACATGGAAGAAGACATTAGTAGTCACTCATGGATTAGCTTCTGATATATATATATAATAGTAATATAACAGTATATAATATATGTAATTATGACACATATATATCTGTATGTATATATATCAGAAGCCAATGAGATACATATATATATTAGATGCTAAATATACATAAATATATATTATATATATATAACCATATATGTATCAGATGCTAACCAGAACAAGCTGAATTACCTACCACAGAGATGGCATAATTTCTGTATTTGGCAAATAGCTTCTGCTATAAACAATGCATGCTAAAATGTGAAGCCTGGCCTGCTAATAGTCTGAGAAATGAGTAACAAAGGTATTATACTTTCTTGCTTCCTATATCCAACTGAATTGGACATGTGCGTAAGTATAGTCTTTGTTACTTGTTTATATACTAATTTATTCAGTCAAGGGAGAAAGTTCAGGTGGGCCCTTTAGAATGTTAAGTACTAGGTTTGGACTCTTAGTTCAGTCATAAATCATGATGATTACTATGCTTTGGATATGGTTATATTCTGAACAATCCACCTGGCAAATTCACAAGGCACTCAGTCTTTTTGGTCCTATTTACTCCTAGCTTCTACTATACTGCTGTTTTGCAATGACAGGCCCCACACCATGTTATTCTAAATGTAACAATAGTAATTGGCCATAAATAAATGGCATGGTAAAACCAGGATAAACATCAACCTTGCCTGTGAACTCTGAGAAACAAAATCTAGATCAGGAAACAGTTGTGCACACATGCACAAAGTTCTCTTAAAATTATTTTTAGAAACTTTATTTGAAAATTTCATATAAGCAAAGTGTTTTGGTTCACTAGATGGGGAATAACTCACTTATGACTGGGCATTTGCTGTGTGTCTTCCTTACCTTAAGAATCTGCCTTGGCATTTGCAGGGAAATGGATGGAGCTAGAAGGAATCATGTTGAGCGAAGTAAGCCAAGAGCAAAGAGACAAACGGTACATGGTCTCCCTGATAAGTGGATGTTAAATCCAAAATGTTAGGTGATACGACAAAATTAACAGGACTTAAGAAACAAAGAACTTCCACTCATCTGGTTGAACTACTACTAAATATCCCCATGCTGCTGATCACATGTGTACACCATATAGATGTGTATATATGTGTATACCGTTATATGTTATAGACCATGATAGACAATTTGCTACAGGAAAGTTAGAATGAACTTGTGACTTTAAATGAGCATCATTATTCCACAATACTGTGAAATTTGGGAAATTATGTAATCACTTAATCACAATTTTTAAAAAAATAAAGAACCTCAGGGAAGGTAGGGAGGGAAGGGATAGTAGGGGGAAACCAATGGAGAGGGTAACAATGCTCAATAGGAAGTGTACTCATTACCTTACTCATGTAACTGTAACCCTTTGTATAGTATCTTTACAATAAAAAATTTAAAAAAAAGAATCTGCCTTGGCTGAAAACAAAATGATGATTTTGGTGCAATCAAGATGCAAAAATAATGATATGAGTGGTAGAAAATCCTTGGATGTATCAGTGAAAGGAGTGGAAGAATGAAGCTGTGTGTCAGCACTCTATTTTTTACTTTGTACATATTAAAACTTTCCCAGGACAAAGTCAACTATAATAAATGTGGATTTTTTTCCTCCTATTTAACTTTTTTAAACCTATCTTGGAAAAAAAATTCATCTTTGTTGGTAGGTTTCTAAAATATTCCTAGCATACACATTTTTCATAGCCATCTATTTTTATCAGGAAGAACTTTTAATTACTTTGAAGTCTCCAGTGGCATAAAAATCAGAGTCACACTTAAAGGGTTCCTTAGAAAGAGTCACATAAATATTCCCATTGTCCACTGTCACTGTGTGAATCCTTTGCTTTATCCCTTTGGAGCACCATTTGGGTTTTGATGATGGATCTTTAGGGTTTATAGACTGGTATAATCCTTCTCCTGTTGCCAAAGTAATTTTGTATTTATGCCAGGGGCAAACTATACATGGTCGTCCATCGAAATCCTAGGGAGGAAAAATAACTGATTTAACAATCTTGAAATTTTAAATATTCATGATAAATCTTAGACTTAGTATGCAATCCAATGTAGAGAAACAGGTCAGTGGTGTGGGTGACATTCACCTATAATCCCCAAATTGGAAGATTATACAAATATAATCGCAGCAGTGCTGAAGCAGAAAGATCATGAATTCAAGGCCAAGAAAGACCCAGTCTCAAAAAAGAAAAGAAAAGAAAAAGCCTCCTTTAATTTCTTCCTCCCATTTACACATGATTCATTATAAAACAGAACTTAATCTAAGGACACCATATATATCCCTTATGCAGTTCGCTAAAATCCGGTGAGTTGGAGCTCTATCAGAATATGACTTGCTCAGGCAAATATACCTTTCCACTGCTACCTTGCTGTTATCTATGTTAATGTCACTTCCTTGACAGAAATGGGGCAAGGGCTTCTAAAGGAATTCTCAATAGTTGCTGGGAGAACTGTAAGTTCCCCATATAAATTCAAGAAGAGTTAAAAGTCATGAGTACAGATATGAAATGACAAGCAATTTGAATCCGCCTTAATGAAGTACTGCTCAAATGGTTTTCTAGCTCATGTTTCAATGCAGGTCTGTTGTTTAAATTGAGTAAGCTGGGGTGGAGCACAGCATTTTGCAAGTCTAAGAAGTCCACGCCGCTTCTATGCATTCTCTGAGCAGCAGTGCGCCTACATCACTGAACTGACTTGTGCTCCCATTGTTGTCAGCACTCATATTTGCATGATTTAAACATGGGAGCCAGTAGTGGAACCGGGTATATATCAAGTGCAGAGAAAACCAAGTTTAGGCTTGTACTTCACACCAGTTAGAGATAAGGGAGAAAAAAGAAATTAGGCAGCTAGTGTTGGAATATAAGTAAGAAAAAAGAGAGCAATTTCCTTATTCTTCCTCAGTTAAGAATTTAAAGTGTAGTTTGTTTACACATTTAAAAAATACGTATTACATTATTACATACGAACAATAAAAATTCAAATTATATAGTAAAGTAAAAGCCAAGTATTATTTTCAATTAAAAAATTAGACCTTGGATTGATAACCAAGCCTTTTCAACAACAACCACAAAAATATTAGATTTAGAAGCCAGACACAGTGGCTCATGCTTTGACCACATAGTGGTCTCTGTGAAGCAAAGATCAAGGTTCAAAGACCATCTAGGTAAAAATTCCCACGACTCCATCATCTTAATAAGTCATCCCAGCTGTGAGAGAAGCAGAATGAGAAGGATTAAGGTGTAAGACGTCCCAGACATAACATCATGAGACCCTAACTAAAGCAATAAACATTATGGCCAAAGGGGCCTATCAAACACAAAGCACTGAGTTCAAACCCAACCAAAAGTAGATCTATCAGAACTACTGTTATATTACATACTTGCTTTTTTATACCAACAAACGAATACTTAAATTTTTTTTTTGTAGAACTAGATTTTAAAAGTACCCAAGTGGCACTGTGCACCACTTGGGCCATGCCCAGTCCTTTTTATATCAGCATTTTTCAATGTGTTGTGCCAGGCTGACCTCAGATGTATACCTTCTACCTAGCTGAGATCAGAGACATGTACCCCTACGCCTGATGTGAAGATAAGGTCTTGCTAACTTTTTGCTTGAGATAAAATACATTGTTAACATCTTTCCATAACAACACAGAATAAATCTACTTGTTTACTTTCATGGTTGCCTGGTATTGTACAGCATAACTGTATTATAGCATATTTAACCAGCTTCCAAATGTTAAAACATTTGGATTCCCTTCAGCTTTTTTAATTACAAAAAATAATGCTGTGGTAGACTTTTCCTTTATATAGACCAGCATTTGTGTAATTATATCTATAGAGGGTAGATATCCCACAGTGTAATACCTGGGTCAAAAGGCATGAACAATTCTCATATTTATCTGTGAAATGGTTTTCTTTAAATTGTAGAGTTGTGAATAATACAATATCAACCATGATGGTAATGCCCTAAGCTGTAACATAACCCAAATATAAATTATCTCTGAATTAAAAAAATAAATAACATAATAAGAATATAAATAGAATATAAATATGAGTTTGTTGAGAATAAATTTCATTGTTTACTTGTACATACCTCTATTTCTCCCAAATGTAAAGGTCCTCCTGAATCTGTAAAGGAATTGAATATGGCATCTATTCACTAAAAGCAAAAGCAAAACCAAACAAAAACCAATCCTCACACCCAGAATTTCCATTGTGTTGTGATAAACGCAAGCTGTACAAATGAGAAGTAAAGTCTCACGGTAGCAGCGGATATCCATTGCCTGATATTCTCCTTTGTGGTAGAAAATGACTACTTCTCTATCATGGACAACAGCTGTCATTCTTTCAGATCTTTTAATGTCATCTTCTCTGCCAACACAGACAGAAGAGTATTTCTCCTCTTCAGAATCTTGTTCAGAGCTTTCAAGGTCCATGCTAGTTGTAAAACAAAAACTAAAAAGTAAAAACAAAAACAAAGAAAAATATTTCAAGCCATCTTCACTAGTTTAGCTACTATACCTTAACTTACAGAGATACACGAATAGTCTTCTTGACTGATATTTTTCCTATAGTTATATAAAATAAAATGTAATACTAGGTTATAATTAGTCATTACTTTATATTAGCAACTCTTCTTGCCTGACAAAACTAGGAACAATTCCTTACTCTTGAAGGTGAGACAGATTACCGTCAATGTTTATGATTAAGCTTAAGGCATGGAGACTAAAATTGTACTACCCCTTTATTCTCTATTCAGTACTAAGTATCTGATTATTCTCTGCATTGCCTTCAGCCTTCTGTTCACCATGTCTTAGTTGGCTTGGATCCCTCGCTAGAGTTGTTCATTGGATTTTATCTAGAACACATAATCAAATCACCCCTTCCTACCTCTCTCCTTTTTGGTGATACCAGGGCTTGAACTCAGGGTCTCACACTTGGCAGACAGGCAGTGTACTATTTCATCCACTCTACAAGCCTATTTTGCACTCGTTATTTTGAGATAAGGTCATGCTCTCTATGCCTGGGTCTCTGTCCCTGGCACACCATTGGTCCCAGCTTTCCTTATAGCTGTGATGATAGGCATTGGACACTGTACCACTGATGGAGACAGAGTACTTTTCCCCTTCAAACAGTGCTCCTCCAGATCTCTGCTTCCCAGGTTGCTAGGATTACAGGCTTGAGCCACTGTACCTGACTCATCCAGCCAATACTTATGGGCATAACCATATAACTATTCTATCAAGAAAGAATAGGTATGAATGAACTCCTTTCCTTCGCTCACCACAAATAGAAATGGTTACTCTTTTGCCTTTTTTGGAGCACTTAAATAGATGCCTTTCTCCTCAACACATTGAATAGTATTTTCAGGTATTTCTTTTTCTTTAGCTTATTTGAAAGTGAAAGCTTATTTTCAGAATATAAAAGTCACAGTCTGTTACCTCCATGTGAGAAATAAATGTCAAGATCCACCAGTTGTTAGGCTTTCAGTCACCTTTGCAAATGGAACTCACTCCACAGTGCAGAGGCTGGGAGACGGTCAACCAATGAGTTAAATCCACTATATCATAGTAAGTGATACCTGAAGAAAACCTAGGCTTCTTAAGTAACTCTGACAGTCCTATGGTTTTGTTGTTCTGTAAAGAGCTGGGTCATCCTGACCTTTCTCTCTTTGTAAATTCATTCAGTCCCTATACGTCCATTCTCTTAGAATCAAACGCTGATCAGTAAGGATGCTTAGAATAGAACTATTTCAACGCTTTTCCATATAATTCTGAACTTTGTATCTTGTTTTACTCTTTAATGTGCTTTTGGTCAAATGTAGAAATTAAAAGGCAAGGAGGGGAATTTCTCAGTATTGATCCAGTTCTTAATTCATATCCAGTCCTTAAATCAAAATAATGATTTGATATATACTACTGTGGCATAACATTTAGCAACCATCCTTCCAAATGCAAAGTTAGGTATACTACCAGTCTTAAAAATGGCATATGTGTGTGTTTTCAACCCTTGACTTACTCTTTTTGTTATCTCTGCCGATTGTGGGACTTGAACTCAGGGTCTGAGTGATGTCCCTGAGCCTCTCTGTGCCCCAAGCTAGTGTTCTACCACTTGAGCCACAGCACCACTTCTGATTTTTGAGTGATTAAGTGAGGATAAGAGTCTCATGGGGACTTTTCCGCCTAGGCTGGCTTCTAACCATAATCCTCAGATCCTCCTGAGTAGCTAAGATTACAGATGTGAGCAACCAGCACCTAGCTCTTTTTGTTATCTTAAGACCTTGGGAAGTATTTATCTCAAACATAAGTCTTCCAAAGCAAAAGCTAACAGCCATTTTAAAAGCTGGCAAGTCTAGGTTTTATTCAGTATTTCCCTTTTCAGTTTAATTTGAACAATTTCATCATGTTATGGACTTATATTACCAGAATAGGAATCTACAGAAAGCCCCAAACTTGAGAGATATCCAACTCTGCTTTATGCAAGATAGGGAAATGTATAATGACAAGGAAGTATGCGTAAGCCCATTGTGGAGAATCAGCTGCTGTTGAAACTAAGACATTTTCTGTGAAATGCTCATACTATATGAAGTCGTTTAAATAGGGATACAGGTAGACCCATTGCAACAATGAGAAGTACAAGTCGTTATGTAGAGAACGAACTTTACAACTTTGGTGGGGGAGGCGAGGAGGATTTGGTGGGGGGGTGGAGGGAGGCTGGGAAGGGATGAGAAGGGGAAACAAAGGAGGAGGCTACATGCTTGATAAGAAATGTACTCATTATCTTGCCCATGTAATTGTAACCCCTCTGTACAGTATTTTCCAATTAAAAAAATAAAAATTTAAAAAAATGAAATATAGTTATAATTGCTTATAATGAACATATTTATCAAAAGTTATAAATGATGTGTCTACTTCAAATAAATATTCCAATTTTGAGAAGATAGTCCTTTATAATCCAAAAGTAGTCATACTGTCATAGTTCGTAGGAAATTACATGATGCACCTTTCCTTGGCCAATAGAAACCAGTATTTTAATTCCACTTAAGACTTAGGTTAACATTTTACATATAAACACACATATCCAGCTTATTACTGCAAAGTCAATTCCCTGTGAATGAAGGGAAATATGTTCATGGCAGTATCAAGAAGCTTCAGTCCTTCTGCAAGGAAATTTCCTCATGAATTTTCTAAATATTTAATCCTATATGACTGAAAACTTCTTATGTTAAGAGGGAAAGAGCAAGGCTCTTTTGAAAGGCAAGAATCTAAAACAGAAATTATTGCCTAAAAATAAAAATTGGTGTTCATCATGGCAGGAAACAATAGAAAAAAATTATAGGTCACTATTTCAAAAGGGTAGTTACTCTGAGCTGATTGGAAGACAAGTATGACATGTCATCATAAGCCTGAGCTCCAAAACTGGGGGTCAGGGGTCAGGGGTGGGAGAGAGAAAAGGGCACACAAGCATGCACACTGTTAGAGAGTGGAGGAGGTTTCAGTCAATGTATAAGGGAAAACATCACACAAATGAAGTTCAGGAAATTATAAGGATTTGTACTCTGGAGTTTGCAGGGTTATCCCTGCTCTAATTAACCTAGTTGGACTGAGACTATAACTCAGTGGTACAGCATGTATTTATCTTGTACCAGTGTCCTAGGTTCAATACCCAGGACTAAATTTAAAATAACACATGCTATTTTAAAAATTATTCACAATAAAACTATAAGAAAAGGTAAAGATTTTCTGAGTTAGCTACGGCTGTCAGAAAGCTGGAATACTCATCCCTCTAAATAGTCATTTGGTTTTGACAGGTACCCAAAGTATACAAATAGCTACATGGTTATTATTTACTTCTAAAAATGGGAGTGCATCCTTTATCAGATTTTATAACCAAATATACAACAATCTGTAAAAATGCTTATATATGAAGAGACATGTGACTAGAATTAAAGGAAAATGGTTGGAGTTGGGTTATGGGTTATTGGAGTTGGGTTATAGGTTGCAACACATAACCCACAAAGGATTAAATCTATAATATATAAAGAACTTTAAAGAACAGTAAGAAGGTATCGTAAAACTGTACAAAAATGCCCACAAAACCAGAGCAAACATTTTGCAGACAAAATGTAATAGCCAGTACAGATGTTCATAAATACAAAGCAAAACCACAAATAACATACTACTTTCCATCTACCAGATTAGCAAAAAGTTATAACAAGAAGGTAGAGCAACTGCTAGTAATGACATATATCAATGCTACTACTACAGTTGGTATTACCAAACATGGTTCATGACCCAATAATCCCTCTTCTGGAATATACAGAGTTACACAAGGAAACATGTACAAGAATGATTATAACAATGAAGTCATAAAACACCTCAAAATCCAACAGTAGTAGGATACACAATTTGATGTTTATCCACTGGAATGCTATACACACACACACACACACACACACACACACACACACACACACACACGTGAATATATAAGAATTTTTGAAAGATAAGTTAGATTTTTTTTGAAATATAACAAGCCCACCATGTTGGTTTATGTTTGTAATCCCAGCTGAGGACCTCTCATCCCAGTTGTGTGTGGAACATAAATAGGACTGCAGGCCAGGCTAGTTTGGGCAAAAACTGGAGATGCTATTCTAAAAATAACTAAAGCAAGGAGATATGGGGGTTTGGCTCAATGGGAGAGTGCCTAAGTACAAGGCTCTGAGTTCAAGCCCCAATACCACTACCACCAAAAAAAAAAAAAAAAAAAAAGACTACAAATGAAAACATCTAAAGATGATTCAGAGTATGCTAATGTTTTTTATCTAGTGCAAAAATAGGCAAAACAAAACAATGTATTTTTCATAAATACATATTTACAGGGCATATTTATAAAGAATAAATTTCTTAGATATCTCAAAATAGTTCTTATATTTAAAATGACTCATCACTATGTAAGATGTATCCTATATTTTTCCTCCTGAACTTTAAAAGGTGGTTGAGGGTTACAATTTAATATGCCCAGTACTCCTTATCATATCCTGCTTTATGTTAAGGTGACCAAATTCCAAGACAAAAAGAGGATGAAGTTGCATTTTGCATCCTCAGAGAATGAACCTGCATATGAATCATGAAAGAATTATTTGAGAGTTTGTACTGCTTGTATCAAAACTTAGCAGTAGAGAGGAAACTAGATAGTTGTTGTTCTTTCCACAAATCTATTCACAAAATGTATTCACAAAATGTAGGAGATATAGCTTAACTCCAAAAGTTAATTAAGGTCTCCTAACAAACCAACTAAATGAAAACTAAACACAGTCCTTTCTCAAATTTCATTCTCTTTGAGCAGTCTTCACAAAGTTGGCTTCCAAGAAAAACTGCAGTGAACTTTGAAAGGACTGATAAGAAATGAACAGAAAAGCCTGGGGCTAAATGATAAAGCTTTCAGAGAATTATGATGACTGCCTTGTATTGTGCTTAGAAACACAATATCTCATCCTTCATTCCTGTATGCATCATAAATGCTACTATTCATGATATCTGAAGACTATTTATAATTAACCTGTATTATTCTTAATACTGTAAATACTGTGAATGTCACGGTCCTTTCAGACAACAATGAGTTCATGTGCTCACCTTAATTACTGTTACTTTGATGAGTTACTCATATACTCTTACACAGTTCCTCTGTTTTAAATTATGTTTGAATCTTTACAAATTTTTTCTTTATATTGACATATAATATTGTATGTATTTACATGTTTTGAAATATACTATACAATAAATTTAGCTAATTAACAAATACATTACCTCATGCATTTATCATTTTGTAGTGAGAATACTTTGTATCCACTCTTAGCATAAAGAATACAATATATTATTAACTCCAGTCTTCCATGTTGAACCAAAATAGCAGAATCTTAATAAGAGAAAGTAGAAATTAGGCCACTTACCAAGTTTAGAAGCTAATAAAAAACTTTCTTTTGAAAATTTAGCTATTCTAATCCACAACTGTTCTCAAAAAAAAAAAAATCCTATAATTAGATTTCTAAAGGTGCTAACGGTATATAAAATTATTAATGAGCTAAATGAGTCCTTTGTCACTATTAGATAGATGCCTGGACAACACAGATACTATTTTAGCGTTGGAAGGAAAAAAATACGGAACTCAATTTTCCATAAGACGTTGGAATTAACAGAGACATGAGAGATTAAGAGTACTTACTTGTTACTATTCTTCTTGAGCAATGATTAAGGTGCTTGCTTGGTTCACAAACTATCGAATGCTTATCTCCAGAGTGACACTCTTGCTTTTAGGTTCAGCCAACAGAAATGCTTCAGTAGTTTTTGTAACTCTTTGGATGACAGCATAAGCAAAAGATAAAACTAGCTGTGACAGGAAGGAATAAACCAAAGAAAACAGGAAAGAAAGAAAAAGTACTGGAAACAGTACAATAAAAAAACCTCTTGCTTCCATTTCTTGCATTTCATGTGATAAGCATCAATTTTATATGGTCATATATGCACATAGCTATTGAGCCCTTGCTATCCTCTCCTAAGGATATCCTCCTTTGTTCTCACTGTGTGAATGTATAGACTGCTGTTTAATTAATCGTGTCCAAGTGTAACTGTTTGTCTTTTACTATTCATTGGGTTTACTTTATAGGCACATTCTAATGATTACAAATAAGGGATGCGCAGAAACAGTAAGACAAAGGGCGAACCAATTCAAAAATGAACCCCCTAGACACTACATTGGAAATGAATTATACAACTTGGAGGTGGGGGGAGGGTTAGGAGTGGAAAAACTGGGAGACAATGAGGGAAGGGGTGACACTTCAAAAGGAAATTAACTCATTACCTGACTTATGTAACTGTTAGTCCTCTGTACATCACCTTTACAATAAAATTTTTAAAAATTAAAAAAAATACAATCCATTAAAAAAAAAAACAACTAGCTGTATATCAGTGACTACTTCTTGGGCATTTTGCATGTATTAGTTTATTCTCATTAAAATTTGAAAATTATAGAGCTAATAATACATGGGTAGCTATAACTTTCATTTAGGTAACACCTATGGAATTATCTTAAAACACCCAGGTGATCTGCAAGTAAACCATCTTGAAGTACAAACCTTTTAGCAAAGCGAAAATTTAGTATCTTTATACTGATTACATCCAGGTATAAGAAAAGATAGCTTTGAATTTAAATTTAGGCATGCTAATACGCCAAGAGTTGTATACCCAAATATTTGAAATTGAACACTCGCCTGGTTAGTCATGTAGTCTTTCTGGAAAAGACCACCAGGCTCTGATTTGGAAGTGTGGGATCACAAGTGAGTTCCACCTGGGTTGGAGGCAAACTGCGTTATTGTGCTTAGTTGCTTAAGAAGGGCCAGTTGCAGGTGGGGCGAGGGTGGAGGAGGGCCCTCCGCACACCTCAGGAGGTTAGGGCCGGGCCCGAGCTCAGGCTGTCAGTCGCCCCTAGGTCTTGCGAGCAGATAGTGTCTGCACTTGTTCGGCCAGGCGTGGCGACCCGGGCGCAGTGCCCACTGGGATTGCCGGGGCTGCACAATCTCGGGGCAGTTGTTCTATTTTACTGGGTCTGAATGTCAGGACAGCAGGTAGAAAAAAGCCCCGCCCGGCTCCCCTGGGGCTGCAGCCCCATTCTCGAGTTAAACCGATCAGCGAGGCTCTCTCTTCCTCGGACGGGATAATCTCCCGAAGTTCACCGGGCCGGACAGCAGTGATCACCTAGGCCTCGGGAGGCTCAGGCCTTCAGCTGGGGCGGAAGCCGCTCCTGTAAGCCCCGCTCCGAGGCTAGGGCCACGCCCCCTGGTTCATAGCCCCGCCCCGAACCCCGCCCCACATCTCTCAGTCCAACTGCGCCGACAGGAACTTACAGAGCTGAAGCCCTCGGGGTGAGTGCGCGTGGCCTGGGACTGCTTCCGCGATTTGCGACTGCCCCAGCTGAAGAGCTGCAGCAGCGGCCGCAGCACCTCCTCTGGGCGGGGCAACCCAGTCACGTGACCTAGAGTCCTCGCTTTCCCCTCCCCCCCCCCCCCCACCTCCTGGGAGCGCCCAGGTGGTGTATGTGGCTGGCTGGAGACCCCACCTGACGGTGACTTCCAGCCACTGCACTCTGCCAGCATCTCCATAGCATATCTCAAACGTCTGTATGGCAAATGTGAGTGGTGGCTTTTCTTCTTGCTAGGTGATTATTGATCTCCCGATGTATACATTTTAAATGTGCTCGGTCATCTCACGTTTTATCTCATGCGCAGGCGTTCACCACGCATGCAATCCGCGTTGATGACAGTGAAAGAGTAAGAATAGCTGGAGGGTTCATCAACTCAAGGGAATGGCTGAATTAAGATACAGGGTGGAGATAGGAATAACTTTGTAGCCATATATTGTCTGCTCAAAAGGACCAATTCAATGATGAATATCTTAAAAAAATCACAACACTTATTACCATGTGCAGACACTGTTCTTAGTGTAAATACTTTATTTCTAGACATAAAAACATTCACATATGTATGCAAATATTTTCATAAAACTAAAGAAACTTAACAGTGGTGATTTGGGGACAGATGGAGTGTTTTTACTTTCATATTTCTAAGTTTTCCCCACATTACTATATGGAATTATTTAAGGAAAAAAAAACCCACCAACACAAAAAGTCCTCACATATGTGTTTAGAGATGTGTCTGGGATTCTTTAAGCTTTTCTTGAAGCTAGTATGGTGATGTACACCTGTAGTCCCAGCTACTTTGGAGGCTGAGGTAGAACCCTTTTTAAAACAAAGAAAAGAAACAAGAGCAAGAGGAAGAGGAAGAGAGGAAGAAAGGAAAGGAAAGGAAAAAAGTACATCTCAGCATTCTAATGTAGTGGTTCTTAATCTTAGATAAGCCTTAGAGTCACTTGGAAGTTTTTAAAAGTTATGTCTGGGGTTGGGAATGTGGCTTAGTGGTAGAGTGCTTGCTTAACATGCATGAAGCCCTGGGTTCAGTTCTTCAGTACCACATAAAACAGAAAAAGCCAGAAGTACGCTGTGGCTCAAGTGGTAGAGTGCTAGCCTTGAGCAAAAGGAGCTCAGGGACAGTGCACAGGCCCTGAGTTCAAGCCCCTGGCCTGGCAAAAACAACAACAACAAAAAAGTTATGTCTGTTCTTCAAACCAGTGGGAGCCTGGGTTCATTATGTTTTAATCACCAAGAGAGTTCACTGTGAATGTAGGTGGGACACATCAACCTGTGTTTAATATGGTGACATAGTGTTTTCAAACCCTAGCTTTCCAAATGGACCTAGCATTGACTGGGTATATGGCTTAGTGGTAGAGCACTTGCTTCGCATGCATGAAACCCTGGGTTCTAGTCCTCAGTACCACATAAACAGGAAATGGCTCAAGTGGTAGAGTGTTAGCCTTGAGCAAAAGAAGCTCTGGGACAGAGCCCAGAGTTCAAGCCCCAGTTCTGGCAAAAAAAAAAAAAAAAAATAATAGTTTCCCAATGGACCTGGGGTACTGGAAACTCAAGGGTCTTGTCTATTTATCCTGGTGTGCTTTCCTCAACCTCCTGAGGATTTGGTATTACAGATAAGGTATTGTCACTTCTGGTTTATAAATATTATTTTATTTATTTATTTGTCAGTTGTGGGGCTAGAACTGGGATCTGGGTGCTGTCCCCAAGCTTTTGTGTTCAGGGGTAGTGGTCTACCACTTTGAGCCACAGCACCACTTCTGGTTTTCTGGTGTTTCATTGGAGATAAGAGGCTCACAGACTTTACTGCTTTGTCTGGCTTTGAACTACAACCCTCAGATCTCAGCCTCCTGAGTAGCTAGTATTACAGGTGTGAGCCACCAGCACCTGACCACATAAATACTATTTTAATAATGAGGCTTAAAGTGCAAAATGCTGAGAAGCTCAAGATAATGGATTTTAGTTTCTTCTGGTTCTATAGTGTTTAGTATAAGTTTAGGCAGATCAATGATATTTTATTACATAATTTCCATTGACTATTTGCTTTATTGGCCAGAAAACAAGTGAAACATCTAGTTGATCCATCATTTGACTGAAATGATAATAAAATACTTTTATTTATTATAATTTCCTTTTTTCTGCTGGATATCCCAAAATATTTTGTTGGCATATGGAGCATGTTAGCAGGACCTAGCGAGAGGACTACCAAAGGACTAAACAGCATTGCTATTTCTAAAGAAAGTTCTCTTTTACTTTGGCATAAAGGCTATATTTGTGCTGGCTTTGGTAGCACATATACTAAAATTGGACAATGCAGGATTAGCATGGCCCTTGTGTGAAGATGACATGCAAATTTATGAATTTTTCTGTATTTTAAAAGTGATGGAGGGTGAACAATACTGAGATATATGCCTATGTATGAAAGTAGTATAAAGAGAGCTGTTTATAACCGTTGAAAAATAGAGGCTAGGGATAGGGAAAAGAGAAATGGAGGGGATCAATCTGATCAAAGTATAATATATGTGAAATACCGTGGTGAAACCTTTTTGTATAATTAATATACATTAATAAAAAAGAATATCAATATAATTTTTTCAGCCAGGCCCAAAGAAACATAGGACCCATGGTTTCCCTTATTTGCAAGAACTAGTATATGTCTGAGACAAGCAGAAACGGCCAGATAAGTTGATGTTAGGCGAAAATGAACCCCAAGATAAGGACTCAAATGTTTTTTCTTTCTTGCTATTGTTTCTAACATATTTATAAGATATTTCTTTGTTGCTTTGTATGACCCTCCCCCACGGCATAACCCCTGTTTTCATTGTATTTGATGTTGGTATAATTTGTGGAGGGGAAGGGAAAAAACAAATTGTTTAAATAGGGATACAGGTGGACCCATTGCAACAATGAGATGCACAAGACATTTTGTCGAAAAATGAACTTTACAACTTTGGCACAGGGAGGGGGGGAAGACGAGGGGAGACGGGAGAGGGGTGTGGGAGATGGGAAGGGATGGGAAGGGGAAACAAAGGAGGAGGCTACAATGCTTCATAAGAAATGTACTCACTATCTTGCCCATGTAATTGTAACCCCTCTGTACGGTATTTTCACAATAAAAAATAATTTAAAAAAGAAGAAGAATATCAAGACAGAAGGTATATTTTAGATCCATAGGCCTCAAATTTTACTTTGAATAAATGCAATACCACGCTTCAGTAGCATACCCCACACCCCTGCACACAGAGAACTGCCTGAAACTATACCTGTACAGTCCCGCACATCGGATAGTAGCAAGAGCTCATGAAGTCCACTTCAAAGTCCTTACAGTTTAGGAATCCTACTGCTATTTCCTCCTTCCCTTCCTCTCTCCCTCCCTCCTTCCTTCCCTCTTTCCTTTCTCCCTTCTTTCCTACCTATTTCTGTAATAGAACAGTTCTAACCAGTGCAGGCATTGTCACCACTAAATACTACCTGTGGCTATCTTGGGTCATTTTTACTTCTCTACTTTGACCCAATTTGTTCTTTCATTCTCTCCGGGGTTTCTAACATTGGCCTACTAGTGACCCCTAGTGGTACCTGTGACATAAAGAGGCCTGCTTTTTCTCTGATTTTTGAGTGTCTGGTTTTGATTTCATGTATAAAGACAGTTTCAGCTATGTCTTCCCACATAAGGGACCTCTGCTCCGACCATAAGGCTCTTTCTAGATAGGTATTACAGGCATCATGTCCTTCTTCTTAAAGAAATTAACACATTACCCTCACTAGTTTTGTGAGCTACTGGTTTCACTACAGGGAAGTTTGAAGGGAGTTTACCAATCTGGATTTCTTACTTCTCCTAATAGGAAAAAATCGGTAGCATTGCTCTTCTTAGGCTACTGTGACTCAGATAATTATAAAAGTGGCTTTAAATGCCACAGATGCTATGGCTCTTAAACCTTTGTCTCCTCAGCCTATATACAGCATGTGGATGCCTGATTGACTTTTCTACCTGGATATTGTGGCAGAAACATTGGGGCTCACTAACATCCCATCCACTTCTATTTCTACTTACAGTTGATTGGGTCTTGAATGGAAATGCAATGTGCAGACCTCTGCAGATGCCTCTTTAACCGTCATAAGAATTAATAGCATGGTGGCATCTCTATCAGCCTGGGTCTGCAATATTTGCTCTCTGACTTCCACCAAGCTCTAACAGATAGAACTTAATAGTAGAAATGTAAACCACTCTGGACAGAAGTCTGGAGGGTCCTCAAAAAACTAAACAGATATTTTCCCTACTCAACCCACTCCTGGGCATCTACCCTGAACATCATGAGTCAGGATATGATAAAGACACCTGCACATCCATATTCATTGTTGCACTATTCACAATAGCCAAGATCTGGAAACAGCCCAGATGCCCCACAATAGATGAATGGATCCAAGAAATTGGAAAGAATAAAATTATGGCATTTTCAGGGAAATGAGTGGAACTAGAACAAATCATGTTAAGTTAGATAAGCCAAGCTTAGAAAGACAAACGATACATGTTCTCTCTGATATGCAAAAATTATGTCTAGAATACACTGGAATATGATCAATTATACAGGATTCTAGATACACACCATGAGATTAAAAGAGGATACTCAGGAGAGAAACACAAAAAAGCAATGCCTATGTGCATCTTTTTATTTATATGTGAAATAATACATATAAATTATATTTTATTTATATAAAATAATACATATCAAAATGAAAATATGGAAACAGATCTCAATATTGTTTTAGTTTTTGATGATTCTGTCTTTTTTAATGTATAGTGTATTCATGAGTATATCTTCAGGAGGGTAGTGGGGAGGATACAGAACTTAAGGGAAAAGGGGTAAAATAGTGCAGCAGTAGAGCTCACTGGACATTGATGAAAGTGAACTATACAACCCATGGGTGGAGACAGGAGGGAGGGTCTGGGAGAGAGTGAGGGAACAGAAG